TTAGGAAGAATGTAGAACAGAAAGCCAAGCCAAGAGGACAGAATTCATTTGTAGCTCCTAACGCATATTATGAGTTTCAAATTGATTTATTTTTCATTAATGATATCCCTAAACAAAAAATGAAAGTTGGCATGATGTGTATTGACATATTTTCTAAGTATATGGTTGTTGCCCCGCTTATGTCAAAACAGCCAGCGGACATTTTAGCAGGACTGATGGAATGTATTCAAAAACTGGGTGGAAAGCCCAAACTAATTTATATTGACGATGAAGGAGCTTATAATAATCAAAGTGTTATAGATTTCTTGAAGGGTGAAAAAATAGAGCTGCACAGAACCAGAGGACACCCAGCATTTGCGGAGAGGGCGATAAGGACGTTTAAGGATAGCTTGTATAAGAGGGTTGAAAACGATGAAAAGAAAGGAAAGGCTATTCAATGGACAGACTACATACACGAGAATATACTAACCTAGAACAATGGAATAAAGCACACTTCGTACGGCTTAACACCGTCAGAAGCAAGAAAGCCTAAACACCAATTAGAAGTGAGTTTAAATTTAGGTATGAAAGCCACAAGAAATAGAGTTTATCCAGATTTAAATGTAGGAAATGAAGTTAAGATATTCAGGAAAAGGAGACCAAATGAAAAGGAGAGAGTAGGAAATTACACAAAGCAGACTTACACAATAGCAAAGATTGAAAAGAAGTTAGGACAAGAGTATTATTATATCGAAAACTATGACAGGGGGTTTTTAAGACATGAGTTATTAAAAGTTTAAAAAGGCTGTAAAAAAGTTATGTAAAGATAAAACACCTTGATTAGTATCAGTTGAACATATGCCAGATTATAGGCAAGGGAAAATATACGCATTATGGGACAACAACTTCACAAATGCTATATAGGGAGAACTGTTGAAAGTTTAAGCAACAGAAAGGCCAAACACAAACGCAAATACAAAGCATATCTCAATGGCACATATGCATTTACAACATCTTTCAGTTTGTTTGATGAGTTCGGGGTTGATAATTGTATTATAGAGTTGCTTGAACATTATCCGTGTTCCAGCAAGGAAGAACTACGAGCAAGAGAAGGACACCACATAAGGAACGAAGAATGCATTAACAAAAGGATGGAGGGTAGAACAAAAAAGCAACACTATCAGGATACAAGAGAACATCAGTTAAAAATCAGGAAGGAATGGCGAGAGAATAACAAGGAATGTGAAAGGGAAATTGACACAAAATACAGACACGAAAACAAGGAAGCTTTAAATGCAAAGTTGAAGGAGAAAAAACTATGTAGTTGCGGTTGGTACATTTCTACACGTAATATGGCTTCTCATTGTAAAACAGAAAAACATGTCAAGTTATTCAATCAGTAGTATAATAATATAATAACATTTAAAATATTATATGTTATAATTATATTTCAATATTTAATTCTATTTCTTGGAAAAAGTATTTAAAGAAATAAAAAACTATATATATTATAATAGAAATGGTGGAAACCGAAATCAATAATTATATCAATAAGAAATGCTACGATTGTTGCCACTTTAAAAAAGAAAATATGGAATTATATAAATTGAATTTACCTAATGGAAAAGTTAACATATTATTGATTATTCTTTGGACGAAGAAAATATATGTAGAACTTGTAGAAGATGGAGACGATATCAAAATATAATAGAAAATTGTTTGGCGTTTAAAAAATATAGATGAAAGAAATGTTGAAGACGAAATATTGATATTTTTAACTGTGTATGAGAGACCACCTTACGATTATGTTAAACAGTTTCTTAAAACCAGTAAGAAAAAGTATGAAATGATTAATGACATATTATGGATGTTGATTTATTATAGTAAACCCGGCGTTGATGTAAAAAAAAGTCATAAAATCATATATTGAAAGTGAACAGTTTAATGTTAAAAATACAGTGAGAGATATTAATCTTATTTTTAAAATGATGTATGAAAGAGGTAAGATATATCAATTAAATTATTATCCTGAACTGAAATTATAATCATAATAAAATAATAACATGTAAAATACTATATGTTATAATTATATTTCAATATGTAATTTTATTTCTTGTAAAAAAGTATTTAAAGAAGTAAACACTATATATATTACAGTGGAAATGTTATTTAATTATTCAACGTGCGAATGTTGTAAAACTAAAAGGAATGATGTTAATATAACATTGTATAAGTTATTACCCGCCAATCTATGTAATAAAATAAGTGAATATGATGTATATTGTAATCAATGCTGTATAACAAGAGACCTTGAAAAGTTTTTTGTTGAAGAACATAAGGATAAGGGATATACAAAGTTTCAATTACAATTGAAATTCTTTATGAAATATCAAAAACGATTTCCTGTATGTTTTTACCATAAAATTGCTAGAAAGTCATTTGAAAAACAAATTGATGAGTTCTTTAATAATAAAGATATAATTAAGAGGTTTGGAGGGGCAAACGCAATTAAACCATATAAAGCATTTGTTAAAATTTTCGAGACATTTTTGAAGCATTGACTGGCATCATGTATGGTCTTACTACAACACTAAATATCAAGTATGGCTACTAGTTAATTTGTTTCTCTGGGAATATATTTATTCAATAATAGGAAAAGACATTATCAAATATATAGACATTGGTGATATTGATAAATATGTAGATTACATATTTGAAGACATTTTTCCTGACTATAAATGTAACCCATAATTCTTAATCATACTATAATAATAACATTTATACCCTTATATGTTATAATTATAATGTAAGTATAGCGTTTTATATATTGAAGATAAAATCCTACGAGGGACACCACGCAAATTAAACATATATGATAAAAGTGATGAAACGAAGGAGGGGAGTGATGTTGTTGCTGTTCTATTTTTTGTCCGAGAAATGGACAAATCGTTTTTAGACAGTTCGAATATTTTTTTGATGACAAATATTTTTTGCAATATATTTTGCAAAATTTATTTTTTTGAAATGGATGAGGTGAGGAGATTGAGGAAATGACATTTTGAAGGGTAGTTGGTGAAATGAATGAGGCGAGGAGAAAGGAGAAAAGGATGGCGAAAATTTTGGAAAAATGATGAGAAAAAACGGATGAGATGGACAGAAAGGAATGTAGAAAAATGATGAAAGCAATTTATTGCTAGGCAAGGCCCTCGACTACTGACAGGCGCAGTTGGGTATATCTTGACCCGCGGGTCTGTCGAGAATGGGCTATGTTGCCTATGGCCATTGTCCTTGGCCTCGATGTGGATGTTGCTTGAATAGGCACACCAATTCGCTGGTCAGTGGATGAGTTCGATGTCCAGGTCCTCAAACAGTCACCCCTTCCCCATGACGGTGTGTTTGTAGGGGTTGGTCACCATTCGCACAGGCTTCGCAGAACGAAATGGGCAACCCCCTTTGTTCCAGGTCAACACGGAAGTAGGGAGGAATGCTTTGCCCATTATGTGCCGCGAGCAAGACGCTGGGTCATGCTGGCAGGGATGCAAGATAGGTATGATCGGCTTGGAGCGCTGAAGGAACTATCTCGCAGATGGACAAGTATCTCCAAAGACCTTCGTCAGTTTCAGCCTGCAGGTGTAGCTAAGGCCACACAGGGTAGGCACATTGCCCTGGTTGCCTTGGTGGGATGGCCAGACACTGGATTTGCGCTTGATCTTGTTCAAGGTTTCCCAGCAGTGGGCTTTGCCCCTCCCAATGGTGCGTTTGCTCCCCGGGCAGCTGATCCAATCCCACTGTCAGAGCTGTTTGATGAAGTTGACGTTCACAACGCTCACACTTTGCGGCAAACACGCTCAGGCCCACATGATGAATTTCTCATGAAATGCGGAATCAAAGATGCAGACAAAGGTTATGCGCATCCCCCCTGCACATGGGACCAGTTACAGGAGTTGGTCCAGCATCGTCCGGCCCGATTGATCCCACGCTTTCCTATCACTCAGTCGACAGGCAAAGTCAGACCCATTGACGATGCGTGTAAAGGGGGGCAATCAGATCTTTCAGTTGATGCCAATGTTTTGAAATTTTGTTCGGCTACACGGCCTGCGCAACATGTTTGGGCCCTGGATTTTGAGGCACGCAAACAAGGCACGAGCTTGGTTGGTATGGCCACCCCTGTGCTGTCAGCAGGGGAGGACTGGCCGGATGCATACCGGGTTGTGCCAATGAGTGTACTTGACCTTGCGAAAGTGCTGCGCCTGCCACGAAATCTGTACTTGACCTTGCGAAGGTGATGCGCCTGCCACGAATGTTGCACTTGACCTTGCGAAAGTGCTGCACCTGCCACGAATTATGCACTTGACCTTGCGAAAGTGATGCGCCTGCCACGAAATCTGTGCTTGACCTTGCGAAAGTGCTGCACCTGCCACGAAATATGTACATGACCTTGTGAAAGTGCTGCGCCTGCCACGAAATCTGTGCTTGACCTTGCGAAAGTGCCGCACCTGCCGCAAAATATGTACTGGACCTTGCGAAAGTGTTGCGCCTGCCACGAAATCTGCACCTGAGCTTTCGAAAGTGTTGCGCCTGTCACGCAATTCAATCCTTGAGAAAAGTTGACCTTGCGAAACTGCTGCGCCTGCCACGAAATCTGAATGCTGCGCCTGCCACGCAATTCAAACCTTGCGAAACCTCTGCGTTGCCGTGCCAATGGTCCCGGCGCCGAGACCGTCCCGCACCCGTTGTCCGTCAAACGCCGCGACTGAGGTAGCTTTCAGCCAGCTCCACACCACCAAGCCCGCAGAGGGTTGCTCCTTTTCGCAAATTCTATTCCCCCGCCACACGCACACGCATGTTTTCTCTCGCGCGCCTTTGATTCTTTCTTCTTCCTTCCCTGCACCATCTAGCTTTCAATTAGTTTCCGTATCTCGGAAGTTTCCTTCTAAACTTCCTTTGACTATATATGATCCGGCAGAGGGCATAGTGTTGGACTCGCTCCTTTTCCCGTGGCACGTTTGTGCTCCTGCAAGGTCTTCGCCTCCATTTGCGGCGCTGTGGAGAAGCATGTCTTCGGAAAGTGCCTCGTCCAAGCACGATCTGGAAACTATGGGAGCCGACGCACGCACACTTTCTGTCTCTTCACTGCAAATCGCTTGTCTTCTGTTCCTGGGGCAAGGGTCTTTGCCTTGGGCGTAATTAGTATCGCTTTTGTTGCAAGCTTGAAGCGCGCTTGTTCGGGACGATTTGGCCTAAGGATGGAGATGGTTTTCACTACCGAATCCTGGGTCCCGACCTCGATGCTGCAAGCCGTGGGCCACATGGTGGCCTTGAGTTCAACTCAGTGCAGTGTGCTTTCGTGGCAGTTTCCTGCCTTTGTTGCCGATTTCGCGCGCGGAATTGTCAGGCACACTGCATGTGGATCACGGCCACTGGGAGGTTCGTGGTGATTGACGGAGGACCGTTTCGCTTGACATTGCTGGACATTGCTTGTGACAGTTGGACCCGAAGCGGGGCTTAGAGACAGCGACCCGATGTTTGGTCGAATCCGAAGTGGACATTTAGTCCCACGGGCGAGGAGATCTGGATCTGTCTCAAACATCCTCGCATCTTGGCAGCCAAGATCCAAACTATCCAGATGTGAGCCAGCTGCGATGTGGCTCAGGTTGGCCGGCGGCTTCACAGGCCATGGAGAGCTCCGATGGCCGGAATTGAGAATCCGAGAATCCCTGTGAGGCTGCCAGTGGTTTGCGGAGGCTGCCCTCTTCGCTGAGGCTGTGACGCATGACGCCTCTCTGAGGCAGGCCTGCATTGCAATGCTTTGGCTTCTTTTGTGCCAGAACGGGGTGGGGAAGAACGAGGCAGAAGCAGGTGTATGCTTCAATTGCAGATATAAGCTTAGATGGGGCGACGGAACTGACAGGGCGGAACACTGAGGGGATCAAAGAGAAGACCTAGCAAACGGCAGAGAAAAAAATAGGAAAACAATCATTGGCTGTCTCAACGGGAACTGCAGGAAACGAGGCAACAGATCTCCGCGATCGGCTCGGGCGAGCTCAGGGCACAGACTTTCGGCGAAGCCTTCAGCCTGAAAGGTGCCGACCTGGCAGCGACTCTGATGAGCCGCGATCGCAAGCGAGCGGTTGCGGGGTTTGTCTATGTTTGTCTTGCAAGCGAGGGGTTGCCGCTTTCGCAAAGGAACTCGCCTGACTGCACAGCCCTCTTCTGTGAGTACGGCAAGGAGCTGATGCCGCGTGCCGACCGAGTGTTCACGGGCCTTGCAGGTGCCATTTGAATCCATTTGAGTGCTTTGAGGCTGATTGCTGGGGATGTTTGGCAAGCGAGCAGGACTTGCTGACAAAGCTGGCAATCGAGAGACGACTGCCAACTTGGAGGAGTTCACAGGCTCAGGACTCGCGCGCGTTGATCGGTCTCGCCGTCGGTTCAGTTCGAAGTGCAAGTTCTTCTGCCTCTTATTTTAGGCCGCGCTGCAGGCATTTCCAGAGTCAGAATGTACGACGCCCCTAGTAATCCTAGTAGTTTCATCTTGTTGCATTGCACTTCAACGTAGCCCGCAAGGAAGTTACTCATGTAGTGTCATTGCAGCTTTGTGAGGTCAGCTGAGATGTACTTGTTGGTGGAAAAACTTGGCGCATGGCTGTGCTTTTTTGGGACTCAATGTTGCGTTTCGACAATTGGCCTTGCGTGTGTCTCGCCTTCAGGACGTAACGCGAGCCTGCCTCAACCAGATGCCTGGCAAGTCCATGGGATCAATGGGCAGCTTAGCAGCTCCGTGAGTGTGTGCGGTAAGGAACTCATACTATCAAGAAGTCCATCCAGATCCAAGAACACTCCTTGAGAACGTGAACCTGTTCCAGGACTTGAGCTGCCTGGAGTCTAGACGCCCAGTCTTGCAAATGCTTTGCAAGGACAGCAAGGACAAACAGAACTCGGACACCACGCAGCAAAGCGCCAAGACCTTGGCGTCCAAGGTGAACAAGGGCTTCGGAAGAGTTCTTGCTATGCCGAGCAGGCACAGAGCCATCGCCAGTCGCACAGTTGCAGATGCCTTGCCACGCCTCGTCCGTGGCAATTGGAATGCCTCGTGGTCGACGGGCTTTCAATGGGGTTCAGTGGCCCTGCGCAGGATGCTGCGGCGATCGCGTGGTGGGCTCAAAAGAGACCCAGCCAAGATCAACGCTCTCTGGAGCATGCAAATGATGAGTATCAATGAGGATGCTGCCAAGGAGGCTCCAAAGGATGCTTTAGAGGAGGTTGCCCTGGATGCTCAAGAATATGGCGACGGAAAGTCAGCGGAAGTGAGGAAACAGCGCCAGGTGAAGGCGGGGGCTTTGGACTCGCTTTGGACTCTAGGGGCTCTCAGAAGATTAAGTCAGCTCGCCCCCCAGGTGGTGTCCATGGCTGAGTTCCCGCTCCAGAACGACTCCGAGTCGGATGGCTGGGGTCGCTCGACGCGCTGCCAGCTTGAGCAGAACCATCAGAAGACTCGTGAAGTTCATGGGGATGGTCATCAACCCTGTAACAGGCTCTCTGTTTTTCTACGTGACAATTGTATGAATCTCTTTAAGACAAGGAGTCTAAGCCTATCACACAAATGAAGAATTGGCAGTGTCGTCGGTGGTCCATTGTTAGTTTGGGGAGCGCGTATCCCTATGTATCCCTGCTCCAGAGCGTTGCGCGCCACTTGATGTTGTCCAAGCACCACTTTGCTTCGACCTCATCAATATATTCAATGCACAACTTCCTTGCTTGTCTTGCCATTGCGTCAACCCTTGTTGATGAGCAGAGCAAAGCTGGACGCCGCATCAGGCAAGCCAACGGCTATTGCGTTCCAGCAACCGCATGCTTTCAAAGTACCAAACAGGCGCTAGATACAGTACGTACGCTGACGAACAGCATTGAACATTTCTCGGACTGGGCAAAGTCTTCAGCGATTGTGCTTTTCACTCTCTTTCACAGGATAGGCTACTGTCAGGCAAAAAGCCGGCCATAGACTGGACGCGCTCAACTTTTGTGCTGGACACATGCCAGACGCGTGCAATGTGGACGTTTAAATGTTGCTAGACACATGCTGGCTGATATTTATGTAGATTTGTTTGATCTGGTTTGAACAGAAAATAGAACTAGAAGATGGGCGGCCCAAAAGCATTAGCAGTGCACGAGGGTTCCTTTGAGCAAGTTGTTTGCGTGCAGCGCGTCGACGCGAGTATAGTTGTCGATTCGGATGTGCGAAAGCGTACTTCGCGTAATGCTTTCGTAGTCAAAAGTTGCAATCTGCCAGCCGGAGCCTTCTGAAAGCGTACTTCGCGACCTACTTTCGTAGTTCAACTTGCGATTTTCCTGCCGCAGCTGCGCAAGTGTACTTCGCGTACTTTCGTAATTAGAAGATTTCCATACGCGTAGAAAAAATCCTCAGCTTTCGCAGATAGACCATGCCAATCCCCGCAGAGGGTCGCGCGCGAACCGAAGAAGTTGCAAAAAATCCACAGTTTTTTGGCATCGACCACGCCGATGTCCGCAGAGGCCGGCTTTTGGATCGCAAAGTTGGCGCAGGTCCGCCGCCTTCAAAGAGTAGTTTAGACTTGTCGAGCTTCAAGTTCTTTCTTTCGCGCGAATTCACAATATTGGCAAACATGTAGTACACTGAAAACCTCGCGTGCACATCTCTTGCGTAACTTGCTGTCGTAGCTCGTGAAAGCAATCTCTTACGTATCTAGCCTGCCAATGCAACTTCCTAGTGAAACTCGCCAGTGCCACTTGGAAATGCAACTTGCCGGTTGCACCGGCTAGTCCTACTGCTAATGCAAGTTGCTAGTGCAACTCGCTAGTGCTACGTGTGCATGCGCCTCGCCAGTGTTACTTGCTAATGCAAGTTGCGAGTGCGACTCGCTAGCGCTACTGGCTACCCAACTTGCTAGTGCAACTGGCTAGTGGTACTTGCTAGTACAACTTGCTAGTGCAACTCGCTTTGCTGCTCGTGCAACTCGCCTTGATACTCGTAATGTAACTTGCTAGTGCAACTCACTCTGCTACTTGCTACTTGCTGGTGTAATCCGCTCCAGATCTTCCTTGAAGAACCCTACGCAATGCTTTCAGGAGGCGCGCTAGGCACACATCAAACAAATTGCATGTTCCATTCAAGATGCAACAAGACATTCAATATCAGTGCACGTAGGTTGCGGCATGGACAGCCAAATTCCAATGCTTCATGAAGCTTGAGATGCAGAATGCACTAGTGCACTCCCACAGAACCCTTTCCAGGTTCAACATGTTTTTGTCTTCTCTCTCTATGTGTGCGCGTGTAAATTCACTGTACCAGCGGCTGGTCAAAAGGCCAGTTTCCCAGTTGCCAGCCCCCCCGTAAGGGTCGGCTGAGTCGGCTGTAGCTGGCCGACATGGCCTTCACCATCCGAGACTGCATCCCCCATGTATTGTGGAACATGTGTTTTCCGCTTGCGCAGACCCTTGCTTCCGAAAGTGAGGCAGGTTTCCGCTTGCAGCACCAAGGTGGGATGTCTGAGACGAGCAATGTTGCATTCTTCTCAGGAGCTGCTTTGTGTTTAGGGTTTGGCGGGATAAGACCTTTGACTGGGTGGGCAAAGGGGAAGCGCTTGACGTCAGGAAAGCTATTGCAGCAATTGGCAGAGGGGGTTTTGGAAAAGAAGGCGGGCTTGCAGGAGTGCGCAGCGCGAAGCGTTTGATAGCGCTGATAGAGGAATGTTGCTCTATGTTGCTCTGCGCCTTGCATTCGTTGCGATGCATTGCCCTGTCTGAGATCAGCGTCGCCGATGCTCTTGACAGGCTGGGTGTGTCTCGGCGCAAAAGGCCCAGCGTGCGACGGGCCCCTGAAAGGCTCCAAGGCTCCTGAAAGGTTGCCTCCAGAGTTCCCATCAAGATCCCGTATGCCTTCGGGTCAGACTGGGGCACATTCAAGGAGCCAGATTGTAAACGCTTCGCGTTGCCCGCCTCCTAGCCCAGCGTACAGCGTCTGTGGCTTGAAAGCAAGTAACAGGTCTGGGCAAGGCTATGCTAGGCTATGCTATGCTAGGCTAGGCTCGGCTGGGCCCCCGAGCCAGCCATCTGGACCCAAGCTTCGCTTGGGCAGTGGCTGGCGGGCTGGACTGGGCAACTGGACCGGGCGCTGGCTTGCGATGCTGCGTGTTGCCGGCAGAATGCCCCTGGCGTGGGTATGAGACTGTGATGCAGCGTGGTCAGTTTTCTGCTTTTGCCCCCGTTGGTTGCCTGTTCTTGGCCTGGCAGATTCGGCGAGAGATGTTTACGCAAAGACATTGTTTACCAGAGAACTGCTCAGAAAGATTGCAAAGATACATTGCGCAGAGATATCATTCGCAAAATTGTACAACCATTGCCCTCAAAGATTTGCCGCAGGAGATCTGCGCGCACGGCTTCTGGACGGTTAGGTTTGTCGGGCTGCGCGCCTGAGCAGCCGCAGTCTGTCTGCCGAGCTGCGCGTGCAAAAGCCCGATATCCGCGCAGCTTTTCAGGCTGCGCGGATTGCGCACGGGCTTGCTGTTTGGCGCGCCCATTTTGGAAGCTACCAACCACAGGCTCGAGTTCTTTGTTCCCCGAGCCAGGGCAACTCCAGACGAACTGTTGAGAGATTTTTTTTTTTGGAAAGATTGCGCGAGAGGTTCCCACAAGCTCCTTTCGCGCAGTTGGAAAGAGCCTGGCAAATTGTTATCCACTCCCAGGCAAACATGTTACATAATTATTGTTGAAGAGATGTGATGCACATCTTGCTTGAGCCTTTGCTGTTGGTGCCATGTCTGTTTGGTCCGATGGGGCTATTGACGCTATTTTGGAGATGCCGCAAGTGTCTCGCAAGTCTTGTTTGACACATTTCTGTTGGTGCTGTTTCTCAGCTTCGCCCTCCACATGGCAAATAAATAAGGGAGCGTAGAACACAACATATTGCTTCTTCGCACAACCAATCCACCTGCGCCAAGAGCAAGGCCTTGTGAACACTGAAAGGATATGCGATGGACAATGAACAAAGAGAGAGCGCGCGTTTTCAATCGATTGCCGGCTGAATTGCGTACAGTCTTCTTTTCATTTCTTAGTTACCGCACGCAGCCCTCCCATTTGTTCGGAGGCTCCCAGCTTTCCGCAAGGCATCATGGCAACCGCGAAAATGTAGCTATTTTTGGGCCACTTCTTCAGGAGCGAAAATGTAACTATTGTTGTGGCAAATAAACGCTTGGCAATTGAACAGGAAACCTGAAGTCATGCAAGCGCGTCACTTCCGCGTGAACACGCGTTTGTTTACCGGGGTCAGAGTTTGTCCTGGCTGCCCAACCACAGAGCGCAAGCACAACAAGTTGGTCTTGACAGTTGTATTGCCCGTAAGGAAAGCATTCCTGAACTACTTCCAGAGAAGGGCACGCATGTGGTCTTCTCCCAGGCGTGACATCGAAGATGTGCCGCAATGTCGTGTTATCTTGTTTGCAAGAAAAGTTGAGGTGTGCAACACAGCTCCAGTTCCAACATTTTGGTCCCCAGTGAAAGTCGCACAAAGTGGCCCATGTTGCAACAGAAGTGGCGCATTCGCCAGAACGGGGAACGCGAGAAGTCTGAGAGCTGCTGCGTGAGCCTCATGGCTTTGCTGCTGGGCTCCTACGAGGAACTTCACGGCCTGCCTTCTCCCCTTCTCCTCCCCTCTCGTGAAATTTCTGTTTGGGCAGATGTTGTATCATGTGACACATGTGTATGCATCCCAGTTGTTTGAGACTTTGAGACTGAGCTTCGAGAGGCAGAAATGAGGATTTCTCAGCTCGTGGCAGCTCCTTGCCAGGACTACACTCGGCCTCAAGGCGAGCAGGCGGGGAGAGGTCAGCTTTTCGCAGAACTTTGTAGCGTTGCATTCTGCACATTAGGTCCGCCTGACGCAGAAGCAGTGGGGGCAGCTGCAGCAGCTCGTGAGTTGGACGCGGCCGACGGTTACGTGACTGAAAGAGCTTGGCGGGGACTGCGGGGTGTGCTTTCTGAAAAGCTTGGATTGGCGCTCACAAGTTCCCACATGAAGTTCAAACCGAAAGTCACACCCCAATGGATCCATGCCCCCCTACGACAACCTGAACAAGATATGATTAGATAGCCCGGCACTGCATTGCGAGGTGTCCAAGATCAAGGCTGTCCTGGTTTTGCTGGCCATCCGTGCGCTGGGAAAGTCCAAGCGCATCACCCAGCAGCTGCCTGACGTGTGCAATCGCCCCGAGAAGGCCTTGGCAGTGAGCCCTCGGCAAGCCCCCGCTTTCACACAATTCAATCAGTGCGAGTTGTTGCGCTTGAGTTGATTCTTGGTAGGCAACTTTCAGTTCGGCTCATTCCCCCCATGAGGGAGGAAAGGTCAGTTCCTTTTTACCCGTTCTATTGCATTCTTTGTTTTTCTGTTACGGCCTGGTTCTGGGCGTCCGCATTTTTTGGCTTTAGTTTTTACGCCTACGCCCACACCCTACTTGTGCCTACCTTAGGCCAAGCCTAAACCCCGCCCACAGCCACTCGAAGCCAAACATCAGCTCGCAACCCATTCTGAAGCAACCTCAAACACACCTGAAACCCACCTGAAACCTACTCTACACTTATCCGTATTCGATCCATGACACACACACACACACACGCAACCAATCCTCAACCCAACCTGGTAGTTATCCTGGTTTAGGCTTGGTTTAGGGTTTTGTCAAGAGCCAACCTAATTGCTAACACTGGCCCGCGCGTGCGCCCCAGATTTGGACAATCACCTTGGCACAATGAAATCACTTCTTCGGGAACTAGAGTAGAAACCAATTTTGCACCCACGCCAAACCTACCTTGAACCAATCCCAAACCAACACAACACTTACCTTAATGCCCTAAACCCAAACCTACACCTACCAAACCCACCCTCCAGGGAGCCATGATTCAAGCGCAGTGTACATGCGGCACTTTGAGTCCCTGGATTAAACAAAAGAGGACACGGCATTGTTCCAAAGTCAAACAGACAGAAACACAAGCGCCCAATCACTGAATGCTTTGCTGAATAAGACAAGCTGAAAACATCACGCCTCTCACCCCTCGCAAAGGGTTGGGTTCAAAGCCCCGTCTTGCCAGGCCTTGCTCTATTTGATGAGGCACGACATGTCTTGGCAACTTGTGCGCCGTGATTTGCTGGGAGTCAAGAAACACCTCTTTCAAAGAACCGAGGAACCGGGAGGAATCCGGGAACCACTCGAGTGCGCGAGGAACTACACCAACGTGGTGCCCTCGGTGATGGCCTTGGAGGAGGAAGAGTTGGAGCTCATCTCGGAAGCCATGGAGGTGCACCAGGAGCCCCCGAATTGGGAGCCCGGTTTGGGAGCCCATCGGAGCCGGGCGAGGGAGTTGGCTAGTGACTCGCATCCGAAGGACTTCAACTTGGCGCAGATGCTGCAGGGGGAGAATGTGCCTGCCAGCGTGCTTCAGCTCCAGGCGTTCGGGAGTCGGGAGCGACGAAGTCCGGCTCAAACGTGATTTTTGTGTGCAGAAAGGAATCAGTCTTAAGCCTGTAAGGAACGCCTCAAACGCTCCAAACGATTGATGAAATCGTTCAATGCCTGCATGCCTTGCAGCTGGAGATGTTGTGCTGCAAAGACGCATCTGGTGACGAAGCTGAGATGATCTGTTGGAGCGGACTTCTATCATCCCCACGCCCATGTAGAGGTATTAGTTCTTATCTTTGTCAATCAGAGAAGTTACTTTGCATCCCAACTAAGATTTAAGAAATTTTAAGAAGTCAAAGATTGGATTGATTCGGATTGCTGAAAGCCACGAGCAAGGGAGGGCATTTTCGTGGCTCTGGGAAGCGCGCACTTGCACAGGAGCTCGTCCGTCGCTTGGGCACAGAGATCTTCCGGTGCGCCCGGGTCACCATCCGTCGCTCTCGGATCGTTAGAGTCGGTGACAGTCGGTGTAAAATGCTGCCGCTTGCCTAGCTGATATGAGAAGATATGAATGAGAAGACAAGCTTCAATTTGCGGGTCGCCTTGGGCGCAGGTTTTACATCCTCTTTCTTCTGGGCTTCATGAGCGGCCTTGCAGGGGGCAATGGCTCCAGGCCCGGACGTTTGAGTGACAAAGCGCGCAGCTGGTTGAGTTTGGCCGCTGCTCTTTGAGGTTCATGAATGCGCGAAATGCCGGGTCTGTCATCGCGGGCATGACGACACTGCTCCACATCTTTGACAGCAGTCCTCAGGCGATTTATTGGGGCCGGGACCTCAGAAACACTGCCATTTCTTCTGAGAAAAAATCACGTCAAGACACGTCGACACGTCGTCACGCCCCAGGATACATTCAGATGCGCGCGCGGCAGCTCTCTCTGCCCTGCGATTCGCGCGAGGCACTGCGCTTTCGGTCGGATCGGCGAGGCAAGTTGGAAGTGTGCACAGGATATGGCGCTGGTGCGGCTGGGGTGCCTGGCGCGCGTCCAGGTTGGAGCCTCCCAAGATCTCAAGGCATTGCAATTGAAACGCCCCTTGCATCGAATGAGACTCATCCATCAGAAATTCGGGAGCGGAATTTGGGCTATGCGAGAGGATGAGCAGGGCTTCAAGTCCCTGCGGACCAGCTGGGAGCTGCTGGGCCTGAGGGAGCGCCAGCTTTTGGCCCGGAGCCCCGGACTGCGTTTCGTGTTCGCGAGACGAGATTAACGCAGAGAGAAAAGGGCAACCGACGTCAGCTTTGCAGAGAGAATAGGTCACCTGCCAAAGCCTGCAAGCGCGCACGTGTAATGGCACCGTTTCATGGCGTCCTTGTTCAGCGATCAAATGCCGTGTCTTTCTTCTGGCATTCTGGCAACCACAAGTGGGCACAGAGATTTTGATAGTCCCAGGTGCTGCATTTCTTGGCAGATGGCATTGATGAGCAAGTGCTGGCCCAAGTTCCAATTTTGCCAACATGTTGAAGATTTTGGCTTTTTTGTTGGTTTTGCGGGAGTTTGTGAAATTTGCGCGCAGGCCTTCGTCTGTGAATTTCTGCCGGACTGCGTGGCTAAAGCCAGGGACAACAAAAACATCGGGCTGCACCTCTTGCTGGAGGCTCGTTCGGAGATGTTCGGAGGGCTCCATCCAGGCATGGCATGGCTGAAGTGTGATAGGTTCTGGTGGATCTCATTGAGCACCTCCATCTGACCGAGCTGAAGACGAAGGACCAGGATGGCTCTTTTGGCAGAGTGACCATAGTGACCATAGTGACCCAAAGTTCCTGCCCAGAAAGTGAAGATGGTGACTGTGGACCTGTCGGACATGGCTGAGTTCATCGGGGTAGTACAGAGCAGGCGGAAAGTCGAGACGTTGAGACGGGCCGGGCTCAGTCAAACCCTGGCCGAGAAGTGTCTTTTTGCGTAATACATGAACAGGTGAGTGAAACTGCTAAGAGCTGATGCGAGTTTATAAGCCCACTGGCTGGCGTGCAGGTTCATCTTCAGCACTTGCATCTCGCGCAGCAGGCTGCAGGTGGAGGATTCACGAGCCTTGGAGTCCGCTCTCGTGGTGATTCACCATACGATTGAGTGAGCGATTGGCATCTTAACAAAGTGTTGTGCAGTTTGACAGACGGTGACGACACTAATGCTTTGCCCGACTGCCACACCTGCAGTGTTGCGTATGTTTGTACATCTTAAGTGCACCTCCAAGCAGCCCTATGAATCCCACCAGAATCCGAAGCCTGACAATGAACCAGATGGGCAAAGCATGAACGTCGAGCTTTCCAAGTGCTTGCGAACGCGAGCCTCCGAGGGTGGTACCTTCAGATGACCAGCTCCAATTGGTCGCGGACGCACGAGGCCGACAATGATACGACCACACTGGCATATGGGCTCCAGGCGGGGAGTCAAGGCAGAAATCGGCAGAAATGCAAATGATCAATTGGCATGCGTGGTACAGTCAGTCAGCACAAATGGGGCCGAGTGCTTGGCATTCCCAGGAGGTTCTTCAAAGGCAGAAGTTCATGCAAGATGCTTGGCAGCATCAGCTGAAGGCGGTCAATGCTTCAGAGCTTACTGTGGCTTTGGTTCTCGGATCGGCGCTTTCTGGCATGGCAGACAATTGATCACTAATGAGGTGATGGCTTGTGCTCACCAATTCCCATGTCAGCGGGCATAAGCATTTGGGAAGCCATTCGAAGGAAGATTCTTTTCATGGCACAGCGGGAGGTCGCGTTTGCGTTGCTCTTGACCGATGGCGAAGCCGCCTCAGGAAGTCCTTTCCTCTCGGGGTCGGTGAGAGCCCGAAGTCAACGGGAGCCGTGCACGGTGCACTTGCAGTTGGCCGCAAGATCCCAAGCCGTGCTCCATGTCCCACCTTGCGGGCTGGCTTCTCCAAGAGAAGCCTTGGTTGCCTGGTCAGGAACCCGCACCCCCGCAGTTTGCCATGTTGGAATACAACTTTTAGAGTTCTGAAGGTGGCAACCTCTCTCAGGAGGCGGTGGAAAAGAGCAGTGGGCGTGAGGGATCAAGCGCGAAGGCATGCCAGATGCTGCTCTTCAGCAACATCCACCCATATCCCATCAGGGAGCTCGCATGGAGCACCACGTGTCGCGAGGAGTTGGCTGCAGAAGTATCAGCAGATCTTCCAGGTGTCTGGCTCGCCAGGGGCCGCAAGTCGACGCGAGTCGACGCGAGTCGATGCGAGTCGAAGCGAGCGCATCGGGCCGTCGATGGCTGTCGATGGGCGTTGGCCGTCATGCCGTCGGGCTGTGGCGACAGCGACTTGAGGCCTGGGAAGGAGAGCGTGACGCTGCTCATCGGAGGAGAGTGCCACGGGATTCGGATTCAAATGAATTGAGTGATCTTTGAGGCTTCGAGGCTTGCATCATGCATCGACCAGGGTGCCTTGTCGCTAGGAGCTGGCAACGAGGCGGGATGGCGCGGCTGTTGGCTGTTCTGGCTTCTTGATGCTTCTTGGGTCTTGGGTTTGTGGTGAAAGGTGGCTGGTGGCCGGTTCCCGGAGGGTGCCTTGCCCCACGTGCGAGCCGCGCCTCCAACACCATTGGTTTTTCCTTTACGTCAAAGAGAGGAAATCCAAAGGCATGTAGCGTTGATATCGTCGATATTCGTCGAATCAAAGTTCCCCAACGCATCCAACGCATCCAACGCATCCAACGACATGCTGTCTGCTGTCCACTGCGGCAAGCTGCAGGAGAACAATGGAACCCCGGCGCCCGTGCATGCCTCGGAGGCGGTTTCCCACGAGCTCAGCCGACAGAGCTTAGTGGATCTCAACGGAAGTTTCATGTTGGGCCTTAGTAAGTGTGCATAAGCACATATAAGCACATATAAGTCTCATCTAAGCACCCATGCAATTCAATTCTGAATGAAGATTGCCGATGGGAGGGGCTTTGATGAGAGTCCTACAATCTTGACAAGGCTGAAGTCTCAGAGGCCACCCAAAGTCAAATGGTCAACCGTTGCAAACCTTGCGCTCCAGCCACTTGAGATAGTGAAGGAATCCTAAACAACATTTTCTCGCCTCTGCACTCACCCAAAGCCAGTCGGAAAGCAACCGCAACCCACTCTCGGCCCACTCAAAGCCAACCCTATTCCCACCGAACCAAACAGCCCCAAACTGTACTCGCTACTAGATACAAACACCAACCTTAGAGCAATGCCACCGCCACACCTAAAATTGCTTCCAACAACTCTGGGTCTGACAAAATCCTGCCAAATCCAACAGATCAACCAGAAAGTGCATCTTAAGACTCGTGTCACCTATCCTCCCCAAATCTACCCGGAACCCACTTAGCACAAGGCCGCGTTGAGCTGTGGTGGCTCGCACCCAGCTTTCCTGAGCCCACTTTTCCTCTACTAATTAGTTTTATCATGCGCGAAGAGTAGCTATTTTGCAAGACAAAGCGAGCTTCCCACAAGCGAAAGTTTGTCCATTGATAGTCTGGCTTTATTGGACTGAAAGGAACTTCCTTTAGGCTAACTAGCTTTGCAGTAGCATTCTTGAACAATCTGCAAGGAGGCCGATATTCGCCGTTCAAACTTCCTGTAGATTAAGATTAGCTTCTCTGCTTTTCTGGACTGCACAGCCTGCGGCCTACGAGCCTTTCCTTCCAAAGCGTGCAGTTTTGGCGGAAGCCTTGGAATGACGCCTTCGAACTGTGCCAAGGTGGGACCTCAGCATGGACAATCAGGCACAAAGCTGGCACTTTCATGTTTCCCGTGAGCAGAAGTTGTTTCCCTTCCGTGGATAAGCATAGAGGTGCAAAGAGCCACCCTCTGAACATGCCTTCGAAGCGGTCGGGTTTACCAAGAGGATGTGAGCTTGTAGGTTCAGAAGATTTAAGAAGCATGGCTTGTGTCTCGGGTGTCCATGGCGTTCAAAGGGCCCCCCGCCAGCCGCCGAGCTGGAAGCCGCCAAGAAAAAGGAGGATGAGGACAACGAGCCGGAACCATAGCTCATGCCCATAGGTTGGCTCCCCCATTAGTAATGGGCAAATGTTTGGGATGCGGAGATACAGGTTTTGTTACATTGTGTGCCTTGGCACCGGGAAGGTAGATGGGTTGCTTGACCTTGCAATGTTTCTGACCAAACGGCTAACTGAAGGAACTCGCTGTAGCATAGTGATACAATGCGGCGCAGACAGCCAAGTAATGTTGCAACATAATATTTTTGAGTGGCATGCTTTGTGAAGACGTCGGTGGTTGAACGTTCTCAAAGTGCCAGGCTTAGGATCTGAAACTTGACCAAATCGTCAAAGATAAGCTGCGTGCGCGGCGCTTGCATCCGAGGTCAGCGATCCAGTTGCGAGGCCTGCCATACCGTGCCACAATGCAGGATGTGAAGGCCAGATGGAGTGCAGAGTTCCCACTCGTGTAAAGCGCCAAGTTGCTCGGCCCAGACAGGTTAGTACCATCAAAAAAACAACGTATGGGTAGCCAAAAGCTGAAATCTTGCTCTGTGCCAGAACTTCCTGAAGCATCACGCGAAGAACTTGAAAGACGACCCCAACGCAGTGCAGGAGCCAGCCGTGCGAAGCCGATAGCATGGCGCCGTTTCAAGGACTTGGGATTTGGACAATGATTTCAATTTGATGGATGAAAAATGATGAAATGACAAATGATTTGAACAATTCGCCTTGCCAGTTGGTGCTGAACCGTGATGGCCGGCCCTCTGGCTTCGGCCGTGTGCAGCGGCTTGGCAAGAGAAACAGGGCTGACAGCAAAGCGCAACATGTCCTTTCCCTTGGTGGCTCAAGTCATGTCTGAGTTTCGAGGTATGGAGTGTTCACTTTCTTGTCAAGGCGAGTTTCTTGCCAAAAGGTTCCGCTATCCTGAAGCTGCCCGAGCTTGCAGAGATGATCTGCCGCCACCTGAGCGGCCATGTGCGGTCATGACATTCGAAGGCCGAGCTAGCAAATTGCTGTCCGGATACTTGATTTCTGATGCATCTTTGGATGTCTTGCTTGAGAGACGTTTAGCAAAGAAGTATCATAGCCCGTGGAAGCTTTGAATACACAAACCAACCGGAATTTGTGCCGAGTTCGAAACTCGCAGGTTCAGGACGCTCAGATCTGGACATTTGTGCACGTTTGCCCAGGCACATGAAAGTCATGGAGGTGGGGGATGCATTGCCCAGGGCCTCTGCCAGCTCAGGTGTAGGACCCGTGGGACCCCTCTTGTGAGTGTTTTGCATCAGCTTGTGCAGGTCACTAGGCCGGACGTGAGATGTTGCACTAGATAGCCTTTAGCCCTTTCTGACATTGCGCTAGCAGTGCATGTTTTGGGCTGCACCACAAAGAAAGGATCTGGAGCCTTGTGGCACGTAGCACACACACACACACACACTGGATCGCTCTGGAGTTGTCAGTGTGTTGAAGCATGACAGTTGTTAGTGGCTGGCTCTCCTGGATCTCGTGGACAGTGTTCCACTTTCTCGCGATTGTTGCGTTTGGAGGGCTGGCCTCGCATGCTTCTTTGTGTGTATGTGTGTGTGTGTGTGTTCGGAAACAGACCCTCGCGAACTTGTAGGTGTCCGGCAACGAGAGGGCAGATCGCGACCGAGGGGACTGGGATTTGTCACTGTATCGCATGTGGCAGATGTGGCAGATGCACGGCACTTCCTACGTGCCACACGTAGGGTTTCAGTCGTTCTCCCCAGGAGCGGTACGTGGAAATCTTTCTCTACTCGGAACGTCCCAACAAGCTGCGCTTCAAGAAGGTGAGATCCAAGAGCGCTTCAGAGCTTCATGCAAAACATTCTGATTGCGTTTGACTTGAATCATTGAAGCTGAACAATTTGGATCAGCTTGAGCTCTTGAACCTTGCCAGGCAGTGGGCGAAGGCGTTGAGAACTGCCACGAGGAAGACGCTGAGGCGATATGCGAGAGCGGAGCAAGTGATTTTGGGAAGCTGAGCTGGGAGCTGCCCTGGTCTGCCGACCTGACCCGATTCCAGGCACTGGGAATTACCAAGCAGCACGTGCTTGAAGAGTGCCGACAGCCCGCAGCTCAATGCGATCTTTTGCGTACCGAGGGAAACAGAACTGTGAGGCTCTGAACCTGCCACTATGCATCTGATTTGTTGCCCCTTTGTACTGTGAGCATTTTTGCCAGCTTTGTGCAGTCCTGTGCCCTGAGGCACATGAGTATGCCAGGCAAGGCGGAATTGCTTCTGAGCATGCCCTCGCCTCAGTCTCCAGGATGCGGGGCTTGTTTGATGCTTGACTGCAGTCGCTGTCCTTGTGACTTCTTCAGGCTTCTCTGGAGCTTTTGCATGTTTTCTCAGGCTGAGATGCAGCTGATGTGCTGTTGCGAGGATGATGGTGGCAAAAGTGGCGATGCCAAGCATAATGATGCAGCTGATGCTGATGCTAAGTTCGCGGAGCTTGCCAATGCTACGTTGTCATACTTGGTGTCGTAAGAGAAGAGGCCGGAGATGACCAGAAGGATGAGCCGAGCAGACGCTCAACACGATGGGTTTGTATCATGTTGGGGCATTGTGCATGCCAATCTGTGCAGAAAAACCAGCACCGACTCACCGACTTGCTGCCTGGGGAATGACAATGAAACCCACTCTCTCTCTCTCTCTCTCTCTCTCTCTCCCCCTTGCACGTTTGTGTCTAGGATTTGATTCAGAGGTGAGAAAGGAGAAAGGGAGGGAGATGATTATTTCATCATTATTTCACCATAGAAGCATCGCGAGAGGAGACAGAAAGAGCTCCTCGAGTTACCCGTTCATAATATGCAGGAAAGCAGGGAAACGGATTGAAGCGAGGGCATGGCTCTCCAATTCTCTTTTCCTGTGTCTGATCCCAGAGTCTAACCGCTGCCTTGTCTCTCGTCAAGCCTCGGATGATGATGATCATGAGGAGGAGGAGGCGGACGAGGAGGATGAGGATGAGGATGAGGATGAGGATGATGATCGTAATGAGGATGATGAGGATGAGCATGATGATGAGGATGAGGCCAAGGGTCATGATGATGATGATGATGATGATGATGATGATGATGATGATGATGATGATGATGATGATGATTATGAAGAACTGTGCACCCATGATGCCAAGCAGTTCTATGTGCATAGTTTGCAGTCATGAGCTGTGTTTGAGCCCTGGAAGAAGGGGTAGCCAGTGTAAGTTGCCAAAGTGCAACTTACTTTTGTTGGTCACCAAAGTGTTTCTGTCCTGGAGCTTTCTTCTCTCAGGCTCGGGGTGGCACTGTCGCCTGGCTCCCGGCTGTGCGCCATGCTGGCGGCTGGCGAATGAAAGGATGGGGCTGAAACAGGCGTTGCGCACCACGCGCCACTACATTCGTTTCTACATGGTCGTTCCCAATTCGCATTTTTTTTGCAGTTGCCATGGTTCGGACCTGTATCACTCGCAGGTACTTGAAGAAGACCGACCAGGGCCTGAAGCACTTTCTGGCTTCGAATTTTGGCTGCAATGTCAAGCGCGCAGAGGTCATGGGTCAAAGTCCTCCCTTTTGATCAACATTTGATTTATGGGGGTGTTGAATACATTGGAGGGGAGGCGCTTGCTCGCTTGCCGGACTTCATTCAGGCAGCGCAGGTGTTCCCTTTGTGTGCGGTGGCTGTCGATGTTCGGCCAAGATATCCCAACGAGTTCCTCGTTGACGGCTCGAAGGGCCGAGAGCTCATCACGTGCCCCACGATCCCATGAGATGACATCTTAGTTTATCTAAATGGGCTTCTTCCCTGCGACGCTCTTTTCGCCACTTGGTGGGCGGGCTATCGAAAGAGCACCGCGGACTCAGAGACGGCTTTGCCATGGCGCACAGAGCCGGAGATATCTTGGCTAGTTGGGGAGCTGGGGAAGCGTTGGGGAGGTCAACATTTTTTTAGTCGAATGTCGGGGGCAGGTACGTACCTGCCAAAGCGGAGGCCCCACAGAAGTCGGAGCGGTTGAAGCAGTGGGCCGGGCGCCGTAGAGGGAGACATTTGATGTTGGAGCCGGCAGTCAGGTCGTCAGGTCATGTCGAAATAGGCCCATGTTCCAGGAGTTTGACACTCTGTGAACCAGAGTCAAGTTCTGTGACAATTTGAAGACCCACTCGCTGCTAGGAACCCATTGAACCGAAGGAGGAGCCGAGCCAGCCTGGAAGCCCAAGAAGCCACGGGAGACTTTGGTGAAATGGCCTGAAGTTTGCTTTGCTGTTCACTCAGTTCACTCACCGGCCTGCACTCCGTGGTCCCCTCTGCATCAAAATGTGGTTTTGCACTGATTGTGGGCCCGTTCTCGCATGGTTTCATGAATCGGTCTACATGGCAAGCCCAATGCCGCAAAGGCTGGATTTGCTGCATGTGGCTTTGGTACGACCACACCGTTTTCCAAGCATCCTTGGGGCGAGCAGTGCCGCACTTGCGACACGACCATTGTCTGCCTGACGACGGAGAAGGTGTGCCTTTGGGCGTCGCACAGGGGGCCTCGGCATGTTCAGCAGGGTAGTGGCAGGGGTTGTGTGGTTTTCGACGCAGGCGGGTTCTTCAAGGGCGGATTGTTTTCAGCTAAACCCCAGTCTCCGCCACTTGAAGACCTCAAATCCGTTAGCCGTCAGGTTGCTTGGCACTTTCAGCAGACGCATCAACGTCTGAAATAGAGTCTTAAAGTCTGCAAAGTCCGCAGTCACGGGCATGGACGGGCTGTCTGAGCTGCTGTTTGCTTCGAGGCTTGCAGGACTTCCTGACCTGACAGCTCGGTTTGCGAAAGTGTCAGCGCGGGGCCGAGAGGCCTTTGCCGTTCTCGTTGGCGCCTTTGGTTTTCTCTGTCATTTGGACTGAGTCGGAAACTTGGAGCGCACACTCCAGGCGACTCTCACTGTGCCGCCTCCGGAGTCTCCGCTGCGGGCTTGGCATGAGAGTGGCTCAAGCCTTGTTTTCGCGTCTTGGCTCGTTAGCAAAGGCTTTCTTTCAATTTTTGTTCTCGCGCTTCAAGGCGCGCCACACAGCCGAGCAAAGTGGTGTCACCCATGCCGCCTGGGGCTTCAGAGGGTTGCGCTTCGAAGTTCCTTCGAGTCGTTCTGAGTTTGAAAGCTCGAGCCTTTTTTGCCGAGGGTTTGCCACTCACCGCTTTCACCCCTGAGGACCCTGGGCAGCAATTGCGGCAACCTGGGCACTCGCCGCAGCAGTGACAGCGCGGGTGCCATCCTCGATCCGGCTGAGTTCCTTTCGAGCTTGGTTGCAATTCTGTGGCAATTCTTCTGTGTTTCTCAGTTGCTCTGGGATTTGGCACTGACTTCGCAGCTTGACTGGAGCCTGAAAGTTGCTGCAAGCCAAGGCCCAATTAGTGGCAACATCAGTGATCTGGGAGGCGCAGCGACGGGCTCCTCTCAACTGAACAAGCACGGGTCACTTCGATGACAAGCAAGGCTTTACGGCCAAAACTTGGCCTGAGGTTTTGATTAAGCTCAGAGGCTCAAGAAGCATAAACGACTCGAAGCGGGACACAAGCTAAATCCAATAAATCCAATGTGACCGCTTGATGCTCGCAAAGCTGCATTGCACGGCTGGAAGCGAGGGGTCCACAGCCGGGCGCGGGATGAGGCTTCCCGCCTACACCACAGATCGATGACATGGTGGCTGTGCCAGTTTGCGCCGCAGTGGGTCGATTCGAGCCAGACTGTTGATATTTTGGGTCTGCTGTGGTTTGCGGCATGTAAAGATGGACCTGGCATTGAAAACAGGCTCATCTCATGACACATATTTGTATATACTCGTCACTTGTAGCATTGCTTGGACTGAAGAATGGGCATTGCTTCTTCTTGCCGAGGCTCCGGAGAGCCCCAAGGCAACCTTTGCCAGCGCCGATGATACACCGTGCTGCCCCGCCGGCACGGCTTGAGCTGGTGCTTTTTCAAAGCCACTGGGTGTTTTCTTGAGTGAGCCGCCTCTGGATAGTGGATCAAAAGCATTTGGTGTGGCCGCATAAACTCAGAGGACGGGCCCAGAAAGGGGACGCACCTCAGCACAGAATACGAGGGCCGGCGTCAGAACTGGGCGCTTTTGCCCAGCGAAATGCCAGGCAGCAACTTTGTGCGCACACCAAGCAACTGGGGCCGGGCCCTTGGCTTGTAAGACCCTAGCCAGTATGGACCGATTCCCAAGCTCCGAGAAATGATGTCTTCCACTTCCAGCGTTTCTTGGAAAAGGTTCCAGAGATGCTGATTGCTCCAGTTTCTCTTTGTCTGGGAAGCATGGTGTGTCTCAACAGCCGCACGCGTGTTGAGGCACGCCCGCCTTGGAGCACCCGCATCGCCAGACCTTGCCTTGGAGGGAGTTGGGAGCTATGCCAAAGCTGGAATCGTGTAGGTCCCGCGGCTAGTCCTGAAAACGGATATTTAAAATCTTGGCCTCGTGCCCAGTCACGTCCTCGGTGATTTGGACTTCGGCATCGGTGGCAATGGCGGCAATGGCGGCACTGGCTTGGCCCCCCACACTTCGGCAGGAGCTGCGTTTGCGACTGCCGTGCTTCCATTGGCCTCTGTAGAGACTCGAGAATCAAAGGGAGCCTTGCCTTACAAGCGTCAGAGTCAAGCTGCAATAAGCTGTGCCATACCTTTTTTAGGCTTGGCTTTTGTTAGTGTTGTAGTAGTGATGGAGAGCTCAATTGCCATTCTCGCACACTGGAGTGCACACCTCATGAAAGCCTGTGCCAAAATGTACCGACACGTGCTGTAAGAAGGACCAACGGAGCCTGCGCTGGGGGCTTACAGAAGACATCGAAAGTCTCGACCTGCCTTCCCGACGGATAAACACTAATTCACCAAGGTTGAAGAAGAACACAGCTGCGTGTTTTTGTGTGAACGTGCACGTTTGCGCGCATTTTTTTTGTGGAGTTCATACATTTGACCTCCCAAGTTGAACTCTCCTTCGTGCATCGCACACAAGCCACTCAGACAGAACTGTCATGTCTTTTTCATGGCTATGGACAGGACGGGATTGGTGACTCAGGCTGGCCCAAAGTTGGCAGACTTGGGGCATTGCCCCTTCTGCACCTTTCTGGCCTGGCCCCCAGAGGGAGTTTGGTCAACCCATGGGCCCTTTTTCGGCCAGGATGGCCAGGTCCCGTCTTCCGACTCCCATTCCTTCTCGCCCTGTCAGCCTGTCGTTTTGCACAAAGATCCCAGGCCCGGTGCGCCAATGCCGCTGCCTGAGTGAGGGGTCCAGGTGGGCAGTCTGGAGAGTCAAGGCCATTGCGCAGTTTGGATAGCAAGAGTGGACTCACCGATGTTCGCTGTGCTTCGAGTTTGTTGAGGTTCCCGAATGCCAACGGGGCTAGCGGTCAGGACACCCCGACATACCGCATCGCAATACCAAGGGCTGTCGAGGCTGCATGGATCCGCGAGGAAAACGGCGTCCTACGGCGTCCAAGATTTCGGGTTTCGAGTCCCGAGTCCCAGGATCCAATGCAGAGCCTCATGGCCCTTGGCCGGCCCAATCCAGGCTCGCGGGATGTGCGTAGCGTTCACAGACTGCATCGCTCGATTTTGATGGCCAAAGCTCGAAATTTCAAAATTCGGCTGACTTTCAGGCATGCCGGGGTCCTCCGAGTCGGCAGCTGCAGGCAAGCTGGAAAGTTCACCTTCAAGTCATTCTTAGTGCTCGACCTTTCAAGCTCCCAGGCCTTGCCATGTTCGGCAACCTCATGATGAACCCAGGCGCTTTGGGCTGCTCTCACAATTTCTCAGAGGCCTTTCTCATTTCAGGACCTTGGCCGATGGCCTGGATGCCGGAAGCGCCAGGACCTTCGTGTCATCTCGGGCAGCGTCGAGAAACGAGAGTGAAGATGTAGGCCAGAGCAGGAAGCTTGAGTCAGGAAGCAGCAAACACGAGTCAGGAGACGTGAGTCAGGGAAAAAAAAACAGGAAAAGAGGAAAAGGAGCTTTTCGCGCTGTTCCTCTAGTTTTCACACTGACCTTATTCATTTGACTCCAAACTGGTTCCACTTCGTTTTCTGACTCACCGCTGCCAACCTGATTCGCTTGACTCTAAGCTTTTCCCGACGCATCGTTCCTGTAGTTTCCGCGCTGCTTCCTGAGTTTCTTGACTCACGTAGCGTATTTGCTCGACCCCAAACTTTTCTTGGAAGTGGGCGCGCGTTCCATTTGTTTCCACAACATTTCTTGAGTCACCGCTGTTTCCAGACTCACGGAACACGTTGTTTCCTGACTCACCGCGGTTTCCTCACTCGTCGAATCGATTCTCGTTTGTTTCTGGACACTGCCAAACCTGATTCTTGGACCGACCCGTTCGGGGACTTTATCCGATCCATTTTCTAACTCTGTTTCCTGGCTCGGCTCGGCCCCTCACCCATGCTGAATCCATGAGGAAATGGGATACGAAGACCTGGACTTTTTCTTGTCTCCGCCCCAAAGTCCAGACTGGAGAAGTCATCAAGTGCCGGGTAAGGAGTTGTGCTACGAGTTGTTAATGCCCGGAAAGGAGGTGGTCCCAACGTTTGGTTGCATCTCCGTGCCGGCCGTGAGAAGTGCACACAAGTGGCTGGGCCAGGGCGAGCCCGAGGTCGGCCGGGAAAAGGAGGAGCTTGAAGCGGCCAGTAGAGTGGGCACCGGGCAGCCCTGAGTCGGTTTCAGGGCGAGAGGTCTTTGAAGGAGAAGCTGAAGATCAAATCCGAGTTGGCGAAGGCAAAGAAGGAGCGGCCAAAGCGGAAAGGAAGTAAGGAGAGCGAGGTCGGCGCAGTAAGTCCGATGAGAGGCCCTCGGGGAGATTTGGCAGAGACCCAAAGATCAAGTGCCAGTCCAGCGGAAGTGAGGATTCGAGGATGGCTCTGAGTTTTGAGACCAGTCACGTGATTTGTCGACGCACCAAAATCGTTTGATTCCTGCTTCAGGGACCGAAATCTCTTTTGTTTTTGAAACACTCTGACTTCAGTTCAGAGCATGTGAACTCTCTTGGCGCCCAGATATGTTTCTAAATGATCGCAAGTATTTGGGTTCATTTTTCAAAAAACTTAAGCAACAACACATGTTTTAAGATTGTAGCTAAGCGCTTCAACCCGAAGTGAAATGGAAGGATTTGACAAGTTTGAATTCGGCAGACTCCAGACCCTGAATCGTATTTATAGAATGGCTATTTGAACTCTTTGAATGGGTTAATTTATTCGACTTACCAAGTTTTACAAGACTTCTTCAGTTATTCAGTTTGTCTTTGATTTTTTGAGCCCATTTGGATTTTTGAGCCCATTTGTGGTCTGGAATACCCCTGCCAGGTCTGCGCTCAAAAACACTTTCCTACTCCCTGATGCAGCCACAAAGCTCTCGCAAGCGTTTCAGGACCTTTCCAGGGGGACCTTCCGCGTGCTGTGCTGCTCTCTGCACAAGCGCTCTGAGGCCAAGCCAGCCGGCAGCGCAAGAGAGCGACATCTTCCAGAAGCTGCTGCTGAACCATGAGATCCCGGTGCGCACGCTCGGTTTTTAGGTGGAGGATGCTGGAGGTGTTGAGATGGCAGGATTCGAGTTTGTCCGAAACATCGAAATGACGCACTAACGCAGTTGTGGGCAGAGGGTTTTCAACCCTCAGGCTAGCTTGCCTTGGGGTTTCCTTGCTCTGAATTGCGAGCCAAGTCAGTCGGAGGGAGTACAATGTCGATGAATGATCAGATGACTCGCCAGATGTCTGGTCAGCAGCCGCAGCCGCAGCCGAAGGTGGGAAAGCATTGCGTGATCCATCCTTTCGCTGACTCCTCCAAGTGGTTTCTTGCAACCTACATAATCCTTGCCCAGAAAGGACTCGGTGTTTGTGACGCGTTGAGCAAGGCTCAGCTGGACATCTCTCAGGCCCCGGCCCTGGCCCGTGCCCCCAGTCTAGTTTCACCGAACGGGTGAAACGGTTTCAGCGCCGTTCCGAAATGCCAGCGGTGCCTTTGACGCGCGTTTCAGCCGGTCGGCCCAGATCCGGCTGCGTGGCCTGCCCTTCGAAGCCAACGAGCAGGTCGGCGGAGCACTTGGCCGGAATGGGGTCCGCGAAGCTCGCGGGATCTCCGTGAAGGAAAAACGAAGAAACGCATGCAGCCATCGCGCCAGGAAATCCTGGCGTGGATGTCCAAGTACGATGTTTCTGATAAGGTTATGGAGTGCAAGCAAGCTGTACGTCTCTACAACAAGGCAAGGGCTTTGCGGATTCCAACACTGCAAGCGAGATGCAGGGCAGTCATGAGAAGCAAGCATTTTGCAACTGCCCTGCGCAGCCCAACGGAAAGCCGATGGGCATTGCGGTGGTCGCCATCAACAGCCCGGAGGAAGCTGAGGTGGTGTTGCAGGCCACCATATTGAATGTCTCAATATGTCTCAATGTCTCACCACCAACAGACCGAGATTGCAAGTAGCGTGGTTGGCTTCATGGGAGGGCTGACCTTTCTGCCCGCATGCTTTGGCGGCCGGTCGACTCGTGGGGCAATGTCATGCCAGACGTTGCACGGGAAGAACATGCGGAATCGTTACATCGAGGTGTTCCATCACGCTGAGGCCAGGTCCTGTGCCCAACTGAAGCAATTCATGCATAGCTGCAAGACTGCTCTTGAGTTGACTGATGATTTGATGCTGGCAGGGAGATGGTGGCGTGGACAAGGCATACGTTCAAACCCCAGGCCTTGGCACATGCGCGCCGTGTTGACATCGTCCAACTCCAACTGATGGCATGGGTAGCAAGGCTGGGGCTTGGGCGGCTTGTCAATGTGCCAGGCAGTGGCACGACAGGCGGAACGGGTCGCCAGCCTAGCGAGCCAGAAGGTTCGAAGGCGATAGGTCTGCCAGGTCTGCCAGGTCCGGTCAGTTCGAAGGATGTTTGGTACGGTCACGATGGTTGTCCGGCACGCGATACGTCAGTCCCCGAGCTGAGGCAACGGAGCCCAGGCCTGTGCCAGCATGTTGCTAACGGGTGCGCAAGGAAAAAATGCACATTCGTCAGGGGCACCCATCGACATGTCTGTGTTCCATTCGCCATCAGACATCAATTCTGACTTGTCACTGGCCGGAACGCTGCGCTAGCCGGCAAGGCAAAGATGGATTCTCGAATGGAGGCGCGCAAGTGAAGAGAATGCCAAACAGAAGAGAGCCCTAAGCAGCTGGTTTGCCCTTTTGGCCTATGGCACAAACGAGGATACTTGCTACCTGCGTTGAGACATGCGATCAGTTTTCCATTTATTCTGGCATCCGGCCAGCTGATGGCATGTTTGTGAAGGTGGTTTGTGCAGGTGGTTGGTGCTGGCAGACTTTGCAGACACGCTGGTGGGCATCCAGCTGGTTGGTTGGTCTGTTGCTTCCTTTAGCATCGTTTCAACATTGTGTTTTGTTCATGTGTTGTTTCTACAAAAACCATGCGTGCCGAATGGCCGTTTGGCTCAAGTTTTCAACCCCCCGTCAGTTTGACTCTGGTACCACGTGCGGACGCCATACAACGGCAGCCGCCCACATCATCGGGAAAAGGTCTCGGTGCTGGGGGCAGCTGGTTGTGGGAGGTATCCGGTGGTGCGGCAGGGTTTGCTGGGTTTGGTTGAGTACTTCTACTTCCTTCCTCAACCAGGTCATCATCCACAGCTTCACCCGAGTTGTGTTTCCGGGTGCTTTGGGTGCATTGTGATCTACTTTGTGCTCATTTGCTGCCCTGGGCTACTTCGTGTTCGCCCAAAACCGCAGGTTATCAGCCGTAACAGCTAGAAGCTGGGGCTGGTGACCCGGTTGCGGGACGTGACCCGCTACCTGCTCCCCCTCGCCTACTTGTACGTGCGATGGCGTCCCCTGGAGCTTCGCATCGTGGGCCCGGCTTCGTGGACGACGAGGCCAACGCCCTTCGTGGAAGTGCCGCGCATGCTGCCCCCGGCTTAGACAGCCGGCTGTGGCCCCTTCCCCCGGTGACGGGCGCAGAGCCCAATCCCGGGGTGATCACGGATGAGTGGATCCTGTCCCAGGTCGTTTTTGATGAGGAAGCGGAGGCCCCTATCCCGGCGGCGGTGCTTCAGATCAAGAAGGGACCCCCTCTAGACGAGGTTGTGGTCCCTCCGAATCAGGAGCTCCCGTCGATTTCGCCTAGTACACCCCGAGGCTGCTCAATCTTGGTCCCTTACATGGGTCCTCGGGGGTGGTCGACTTCGATCGCATCGACCTCGGTTCGGGTGTCCCTATTTCGGTTGGGAACATTGAAATTCGGTCCCTTTTTGATGCGATCCCTCCCGGCCTTCCCGAATTGACAGGCCCTTCGATGCCCTGCCTGTGCATGAGCCCATTGAGGACTTCCCTCATGAAGGTGAGAATGGCCCCATTGAAGATTTCTCCCCTTCTCATGTCGCAGGTTCGGCCCAACTCAAGTCGGGCGACTGGGCAATTGAGGATTGGCCACAAACAGTTGGCCTTCCTCCTGTATCAGGTTCATCCGATGCCAACATCACTCATGATCACCCCAGCCCGGCAGATTTGGACTTCATCCCCGGTGCAGTATCAACTCACATGTCCGGTACCCGTGATCAGGATGCGGACCGCTACAACGCCGGTCCAAATCCACTGCCATCCTCAGGTACCCAAGATCGGGATGCGAGCCGATGCGGTGCAAAAGGGGTTGCAAAGGGCTATGTTTACACGCTCAACGATCTCAGCAGTATGGATGAGCTTCTATCGGACCTCCACCGTCTCCTACGACACATGCTTGGCTGACCGTCCGCAAACGCAGGATGATGTCAAGCAGGAGCTGGCTGAGCCGATGCCTAGGAAGTATCGATATCGCCCTCGTGATCGCCACCAATCCGAGATTCGCCTTACACCGGGCCGCGGCGTGAAGGACGAAGAGGAACCCGATTACGCTGGCTCCGGAGGAGACGAGCAGGGGTCGGATGGCTCATCACATGATGACGATGAAAAGCCTGAGGACCTTGACGAGCCCATGGATTGAGGATGCCGAGGATATCCCTCCTCCTCCGCCGCCACCTCCGGGCCCTCCCGCGCCACCTCCCGGTAGAACCGGAGACGCCTGTGATAGTCTCCCCGAACGTCAGTCCGAGCGGAGCTGCGCCCGCTCCACCTCCTCCTCCCGTCCCTATTGCGGCTGATGTCACAACGGCTAGGGACCCATTGTGGCGATCAACACTCGTATTCCTGACACTGAGTCCGAGATGGAGGCTGATCCCGGTCAGCCCAAGGCTAGGAAGACTTCCCGCGGCCGTGTCCCTGCGCCCGAGAAAGGGCAGCGGGACGAGCGCATTCCCACTGGTGAGCCCAGCTCTAAGAGCATGGCTCAGCCCGCTCGCCCGGGGGCAGGAGAGGTAGGACAAAAGGGTTTTACTCGCAAAAGGACCCTTTCGCCGAGGAGGCGAAACCCCGCCTTCGCCTTCGCTCTGGTCCTGGGACTCCTGCATCCCCACCTCGTGACGCTACCGGCGCTTTGGGCGACCCAAGCAACTGACCCGCGCGATGATGATGGGGAGTGGGAGCTTCCTCCAGGTGTGCCGCGGACCACCCGTGCGACTGATGAATCGCGAATCCACCGGGCAGACGATCGTTCAAGAACCGCGCTTGGTGCCCGTGATGACCGCCGTGGCCCTCGGGGGGAGGGCAAAGGTTGAGGAAGGCGCCGGCCTGGCAAGGACGGGCGTGACGACGCTGCCCCGCGGAGGCAGGCGTGATGCTCATCCCCGTCATGCCGTGGGCGTGACGATCGCCGCGATCGCCATCGTGACCGACGTAGGGATGACCGGCGTCACTAGTCGGACCCCCCGCCGCCTCGCGGACCTCCAGCTGGCGACCGCAGCAGAGATGGTGAAGGAGAACGCCGTCGGGACGATGGGGGCGACCGAGGTGACCGCGGTGGCCGTCGGAGAGATGACGCACCCACAGACCGGGAAGAACCCGGGGCCGGGTGGTTGGCAGGTGCCGCAATCGTCATCCGCCTTAGAAGGGCGGGATTGACGAGCACACCGCCGAAAAAGGCGGCTGCGCTAGGATTTCACCCGTCCATGCAGCGCTACTGTGGGTGATGATCTCCATTGCCCTGCGCCGCTAATCCGGGGCTGTTCGCGCTCCTCCCGCACCGCGGCCGTGCGTGCTGGAGATGGTTCGCCTGGTGATCCTGTGTGAGGCTGTGACCGCACTAGAAGTGCTGGACCAGCCGTAGCCGGATATTCTCACACCAGTCCTTCGGAATCTCGATTTATTTCTCTCTCAACTCGTTACCGTCTTCAACTACATTGTGGCATGCTGTGAGGCGCGGCGATCCGGACAGGGTCCCCCTCCTTGTGTCACTGTCCCGACGCAATACCTGAACGGCGCGAGAGGAATCTTCGTCTGGCTCCTCCAATCTGTCCTTGATCACTCATGTGGCCCATTCGTCAAATAATCCTGTCGCCTCGCTAATTCGGGGTGGTGGCGGGATTTTACCTGGGGCCCAGGTGATGCCGTTTGGCTCACCTCTGACTTGACACTGGCATTTTTGGCTGGTTCCTTTCGTCGTGAACTCAACTGTCATGCATCCTTTCTCTCGTCCAGATCCCGGATGAGGGGGGTGTGTTTTGTTCACGTGTTGTTTCTACAACTAGAGGACGATTGGCCCGAAAGCATTTTTCCCCAGGTGCTCATCCAGCCGCGGAGACACCTTTTTACATTGCTGCGGCGAGCGTGTCTGCACGCGTCAATGTGTATGGTCACATGAGAGCTCCATCTCATCATCCTAGTTTCCTCTCGAACTGCGCCGCGCGATTTCTCACGAAAGTGGTCTGCGCAAGCTGCGTTGTTCCAGGCTGCTGCACGCAAGTTGCTCTCTGCAAGCTGCTGCACGCAAGTGCTCTGTGCAAGTTGCTCTGCGCAAGTGCTCTGAGCAAGTTGCTCTGCGCAAGTGCTCTGCGACAGTTGCTCCGCGCAAGCGCTTTGCGCATGTGCTCTGTGCAAGCTGCTCTGTGCAAGTTGCTCTGCGCCAGTTGCTCCGCGCAAGCGCTTTGCGCATGTGCTCTGCGCGCAGGTTGCTCTGCGCAAGTGCTCTGAGCAAGTTGCTCTGCGCAAGTGGTTGCTCCGTGCAAGCGCTTTGCGCATGTGCTCTGTGCAAGTTGCTCTGCGCAAGTGTTTTGTGCAACTGCTCTGTGCAACTCGCGGAGCGCAAGTGCTGCCGAAGCTGTGGGAATGTACTTCGCGTACTATTTTTGTACTTAAAAGTTGCGATTTCCAGCCAGAGCTGCGGGAGCACGCTCTGCAATGACCGGGGGTCAAGGAGGCTCGCAGCAGCCGAAGCGCTCTTTTGCGCTGAGATCGAATGTCCACGCGCCCACTGGCGCGGTCGCAACCGTGGCTCGGTGTGGAGCGGACAAAGGGGCCCCTCTGTCTAGGGCCATGGTGGCAGCAGTGGATCAACAGTTGACATGTCACAACCGAAGGAATCGCATGGGCCAAAAACCTTTCTCAACTGCTGATCCCGTTGCTGGTGTGCCGTCACATCCTTGATGGCAGAACGCCCTTGGCCGTGGCTCTTGCGAGCTGAAGTGAAGGTGTTGTCGTATGCAACACTCCACAGGCCTGTTTGAAGAAACTTGGTGAGACCCAGGCGACACTCAGCTTTCTTCTTGGTCAAGGCGTCGCCGAGATCATAGTCGCTGGCCACCCAACGAAGTTCAGCTCCGGTTCGGGTGAGATGCTCCCGAAGTTGAAGAGCTTGAAGCGCGGCTCTTGCATTACTCAACCCAAGCATGGGTGACTCGTTGTAGATCACCGCATCGTAGCCGCCTTTGC